TGTCTCCCAAGATTTGTGAGTGTGTTGGGTCATCCTTCAGGATAGGTTGTAGATCCTTAATAATGCGTTGGAGGGGTTTTAGTTGGGGGCTGAAGGTGATGGCTAGTGGCGTTCTGTTATTTTCTTTGTTAGGTGTCCTGTAGTAGGTGATTTCTGGGAACTCTTCTGGCTCTATCAATCTGTTTCTTCACTTCCGCAGGTGGGTATTGTAGTTGTAAGAATACTTGATAGAGATCTTGTCGGTGTTTGTCTCTGTCTGAGGGGTTGGAGCAAATGCGGTTGAATCGCAGAGCTTGGCTGTAGACAATGGATCGTGTGGTGTAGTCAGGGTGAAAGTTGGAGGCATGTAGGTAGGAATAGCGGTCAGTAGGTTTCCGGTATAGGGTGGTGTTTATGTGACCATCGTTTATTAGCGCTGTAGTGTCCAGGAAGTGGATCTCTTGTGTGGACTGGACCAGGATGAGGTTGATGGTGGGATGGAAATTGTTGAAATGATGGTGGAATTCCTCAAGGGCTTCTTTTCCATAGGTCCAGATGATGAAGATGTCATCAATGTAGCGCAAGTAGAGTAGGGGCGTTAGGGGACTAGAGCTGAGGAAGCGTTGTTCTAAATCAGCCATAAAAATGTTGGCATACTGTGGGGCCATGTGGGTACCCATAGCAGTGCCGCTGATTTGAAGGTATACCTTGTCCCCAAATGTAAAATAGTTATGGGTAAGGACAAAGTCACAAAGTTCAGCCACCAGGTTAGCCGTGACATTATCGGGGATAGTGTTCTTGATGGCTTGTAGTCCATCTTTGTGTGGAATTTTGGTGTAGAGGGCTTCTACATCCATAGTGGCCAGGATGGTGTTATCAGGAAGATCACTGATGGATTGTAGTTTCCTCAGGAAGTCAGTGGTGTCTTGAAGGTAGCTGGGAGTGCTGGTAGCATAAGGCCTGAGGAGGGAGTCTACATAGCCAGACAATCCTGCTGTCAGGGTGCCAATGCCTGAGATGATGGGGCGCCCAGGATTTCCAGGTTTATGGATCTTGGGTAGTAGATAGAATATCCCAGGTCGGGGTTCCAGGGGTGTGTCTGTGCGGATTTGATCTTGTGCTTTTTCAGGGAGTTTCTTGAGCAACTGCTGTAGTTTCTTTTGGTAACTCTCAGTGGGATCAGAGGGTAATGGCTTGTAGAAAGTGGTGTTGGAGAGCTGCCGAGCAGCCTCTTGTTCATATTCCGACCTATTCATGATGACAACAGCACCTCCTTTGTCAGCCTTTTTGATTATGATGTCAGAGTTGTTTCTGAGGCTGTGGATGGCATTGTGTTCTGCACGGCTGAGGTTGTGGGGGCAAGTGATGCTGCTTTTCCACAATTTCAGCCCGGACACGTCGGCAGAAGCACTCTATGTAGAAGTCCAGTCTGCTGTCTCGACCTTCAGGAGGAGTCCACCTAGAATCCTTCTTTTTGTAGTGTTGGTAGGGAGGTCTCTGTGGATTAGTATGTTGTTCAGAGGTGTGTTGGAAATATTCCTTGAGTTGGAGACGTCGAAAATAGGATTCTAGGTCACCACAGAACTGTATCATGTTCGTAGGGGTGGAGGGGCAGAAGGAGAGGCCCCGAGATAGGACAGCTGCTTCTGCTGGGCTAAGAGTATAGTTGGATAGGTTAACAATATTGCTGGGTGGGTTGAAGGAACCATTGCTGTGGCCCCTTGTGGCATGTAGTAGTTTAGAAAGTTTAGTGTCCTTTTTCTTTTGTAGAGAAGCAAAGTGTGTGTTGTAAATGGCTTGTATAATTTTAGTAAAGTCCAGCCACGAGGAAGTTTGTGTGGAAGGTTGTAAGGAGAGTGATCACTTTAGATAAGCTATTACCAACAGGATAGTGGGTTTGGGGGGCAGAGGGGGGAGAAAACCTGGATTTGTGCTGGAAATGGCCCAACTTGATTATCATACACATTGTAAGGAGAGTGATCCCTTTAGATAAGCTATTACCAGCAGGAGAATGGGGGGGGGGGGGAGAGAAAACCTTTTGTAGTGGTAAACACCCATTTTTTCATGCTTTGTGTGTATAAAAAGATCTTCTATACTTTCCACAGTATGCATCCGATGAAGTGAGCTGTAGCTCACGAAAGCTCATGCTCAGATAAATTGGTTAGTCTCTAAGGTGCCACAAGTACTCCTTTTCTTTTTGCGAATACAGACTAACACGGCTGTTACTCTGAAACTTACCCTAAATCATTTAAAGATGGAGTGACCAGAACTTAATATAGTATTCCATGTGATGAAGGTATATCATTGACATTACAATATTCTATAGTTCATTCAATTCAATCCACAGCAACAGTCCAAAAAGAAGAGAGAGAGAGAGAGAGAGTGTGTGTGTGTGTGTGTTTACAAACATACATTTTATTTGCTTTTTTGACTGCATATTGAGGAGATATTTTCCAAGCTGCCCACAATGACATCTTGGTCTTTTCCCCTGAGTGGTTATAATTTTATTTATGACCTAGGGGGAAAGGCTTTAATATTTTTCAACTATAACTCCAAAAAGTTTTAAAAGGGTGTAAAACACCTCTGTTCCCCAACTTTGACTCAGTTGTGACGAGTACTGTCACTAGAAGAAAATATAACATCTACTGGAACAGATCAGTTTCCTTTACTATGAGCTTTTTGTTTTTAGGGCTTTCCTTTGCATACTATAGAAGCTAGAGCTAAAAAGTGTTCAACTAGAAACTAGTATTAATTTTTCCTCATGTCTAAATTATGAGAGTAAGTAATCACTGCAGTAAGAGTGAGAAAACCCACAGCCTGTTTGTCAATGCCAGGAAAACAATAGTGCACTTTGCCTCTGAAAAGTCACTACACTGAAACAGGAAGCGTGCTGCCAGTTTAATATTAGCCTGATGACTGATGGGAGGAGTGGTACGATTACAAATGTTGTTTGGGAAAAGTTTTTTTTTTCTTTTCTCCCCCCACATCCTCACTATGTTTAAAGAAATATTCACATTTATAAGGACACAACTAGTGGCATGGAGTCTAATTCTGTAGTGAATAAATTTAGGATGCTAGTCAGCCAAAGACTGTACCTAATACTTATGTGTGAGCTGCCTCCATGGGCCTTGGTCTGTGAAGTACAATGGTATTAGAAGATAAAGTGCTTTATTATAGCACTGATGTAACATATGCTTCTGTGCTTCTTTTAGTGCCACCTGCTGTAGGGGTTGGATAACTATTTCTTAAATGGACAGAAGAACACAGGTCTGGAGGGTAGCAAAAAATGGCTATACACAGAGGCCAATGTAATGGTTTTAAAATAAAAGTGGTTTTAATTCAGTGCTGCTTGCTTAACAGCCCTGAAGACTCAGGTCCCATGTTAATCTACAGGCCAGGTACAGCCTGGACAGTGATAGTGCAAGCTTCCCCACCCTGCCCCTTTCCCACCTGCCTCTCTTCCGATCAGCAGGGCTGTAGGAGTAGGTTAGCCCTTGCGCCCTTTCTGTCCTTGTCCACTCTGCTAGGATTGCCGGGCAGCATTCACTTGGTTGTTGGATATTTGTTTGTAATATTTTATGAGGTCCTGTTTTTTCCAACAGTCTACCCTGGAAATTTGGAGTCTTAAAACAGGACACCTCGGTGTCCTCCTGTGTTCAGGAGCAACTCCTTATTCTTCCTTTCCAGCAGGGGGCACTGCTGCAGGCTTTGGAAAGCCATCCGCCCCAGACCCCAGAGAAAGCAGCTGCAGCAGCACTTTCAGGTGGAGGATGGTAGCTGCCGTGCCACCTTATCACCACCTCCAGAGCCTGATGGGTGGCACCAGCCCAGGTGGTGAGGGGTCTGTGGGGAGGGGACAGGTGACCCTGCTTGTCTCTCACCTTACGTATACACAGTAAGAACTCAACAACCAATTTTGAATTGGAGACGGTTGTCACTAAGTGCATTTACACCTTCCTTCCTTTGGGCAAATTGATTTCTGGGATCAAGTGATAGTCGAGGTTAAAATCCCTGTTATAGAGCTTTGGGTGTTAGTTCATTAAGGGACACCATTTAATCCATCTCAGGACACAAGGGGTGGACGCAAAAGGTCACTGTGTGTCATCTTTATGCCTCCCCCACAATCCTGGGGCCAGTTCACTCCTAGGTATAAGCAAGAGTAGTTTCTGAGGCCTTTCTAGCAGCTGGGGATTGGGAGAACATGCGGGCACACTGGATACACCTAACCTCAAGATGGTTCAGGCTGGAGTGGTGCAAAGCTAGCTATGCTGGCCCAATGCCAAGGAATCCTTGGGTGGCTAGCCAGCCAAACTGGCCTTGCACCACCAAACAGAAATCACCTGCAATAGGGGCCTGCATCTGGCCCATGTTTTCTGCATTGAAGCAGCACAAACTGCAATTGGGGGAGGTTTTTTGTGGGGGAGGGAAAAATCAGTGTTTTAAACGTTGTTAATTAAAAAAAAAAAGTTGCACAAACTCCCCTGCAGTGAATTTAGGGCTAAGGAAGGATTCCAGAGAGGCAGCCAGGGAGACTAACTCTCTCTACCACACAGATCCAGCATGGGCCTCCACAGCCCAGTGGGTGGCAACAGCACCAGCCCAGGAGAAGTGTGTGTGCGCCTGGGGGCGGGTGACAGATGTCTCTGTTTGTCATTCTGACATTTGGTTAAGGAGATTTAGAAAATTTTTCCTAATATGTTACCTAACTCTAAGGGTAATTCAGTATTGGAACAGGTTGCCTAGAGAGGTTGTAGAATCCGCACCATTAGAGGCTTTTAAGAACAGGTTAAACAAACATCTGGTAGGGATGATCTAGGTATGCTTGGTCCAGCTGTTCACTAGATGACCTCTGGAGAGCTCTTCCAGCCCTGTTTTCCTATGATTATGTGTTTCTATGGGCAGCAGAAGACTGGTCAGAAAATGGAGAAATAAATGCATTACATTACTTGAAAGTGGTTCTTGTTTAAAAAAATTTTTTTTTGCTTTCTTTCTTTGCCTGATTTGGATTTTTTTTTTTAAAGCGATGGCTGGGGAAGGAATTTTCAACAACCAGGAAAAGAAAAAGATGGAAAAAAGAGGAAAAAAAAAGAAAAATATCAAAAGAAAATATTGAAAAAAAATCAAATATGGATACATTTGTCAGAGATGGACAATATCCAGAACAAACCTTGTTGAATTAGGGTTAATTCCATAAGATTTAGGTTAATACCTTTGGGGTTAAAACCATTGTGTTAAAAATGCAATAATATAGATGTTGTTGTGGCATTGCATGTACCTTTTCTAGTCGGGAGGGGGGATGCTAATGTACTTCCTCCATCATCAGCCTTTGAAGCCACCCTTCCCCTCTTCCCCCAGGGAGATTTGCACATACCTGCACCTTGTTTTTAATATGTCTTCTCTGTAATGCTTTTAAACCTTCAGAATAAAGGCTTACTTAGAAAGAGCTGAGTGGTAACTTATATCTGTAGCGATCACTTATCAGTCTCTGACAAGAAAGCAAGCAGATCTGTATAGGCAGACTGTCTTTGCTGGGAAATACCCGGTGAAGGCAGGGAGCTGTGCAGCCTGGACATATCCTAGTCAAAGGGGTGACTCCACCCAAGAAAGGCAACAGCTGGGGAACTGGAAGCTTGAGAACAGATGTCCTTGCTGGACCACTGAGGGGAAATACAGCTGCAGTTGCCCTGAACTGTGACTGTCAAGGTTCCTTCCCCACTCTGAACTCTAGGGTACAGATGTGGGGACCTGCAAGAAAACTCCCTAAGCTTATTTTTACCAGCTTAGGTTAAAACTTCCCCAAGGTACAAACTATTTTACCTTTTGCCCTTGGACTTTATTGCTGCCACCACCAAGCGTCTAACAGATATATAACTGGGAAAAAGCCCGCTTGGAAACGTCTTTCCCCCCCAAATCCTCCCCAAACCCTACACCCCCTTTCCTGGGGAAGGCTTGATAAAAATCCGCACCAATTTGCATAGGTGAACACAGACCCAAACCCTTGGATCTTAAGAACAATGAAAAAGCAATCAGGTTCTTAAAAGAAGAATTTTAATTGAAGAAAAAAAGTAAAAGAATAACCTCTGTAAAATCAGGATGGTAAATACCTTACAGGGTAATCAGATTCAAAACACAGAGAATCCCTCTAGGCAAAACCTTAAGTTACAAAAAGACACAAAAACAGGAATATACATTCCATTCAGCACAGCTATTTTATCAGCCATTTAAACAAAACAGAATCTAACACATATCTAGCTATATTACTTACTAAGTTCTAAGACTCCATTCCTTTTCTGTTCCCAGCAAAAGCATCACACAGACAGAGAGAACCTTTGTTTCTCCCCCCATCCAGCTTTGAAAATATCTTGTCTCCTCAATGGTCATTTTGGTCAGGTGCCAGCGAGGTTATCCTAGCTTCTTAACCCTTTACAGGTGAAAGGGTTTTTCCTCTGGCCAGGAGGGATTTTAAAGGTGTTTACCCTTCCCTTTATATTTATGACAGTGACATATGGCAGCAGTGTTTGTGGGATCTGTAACAATGTAAATTGATTGAGTACTGTAGAAGTACACAGAGAAAAAGGTTTCAGTAGTCTTTTCAGAAAAGGAATAACAAAAAGAGAGATGGGGAAAATGAATGATGAGCAGCTGAAGACAAGTCAGCGGATTGATTTATGTGAACAAAGGGAGGTCAGCTCTGAAGACAGAACCAAACCACAGTTAGCTGAGTTGCTGTATTCTAGTGACCAGCTGAGAAATGATGGTCTGGGTTTGCAAAGAACCTCCAGCCTGCTTACAGGAGGGTCCATCTGATGGGGAGAATCTTGGCGCCAATGCCTGAAGGGAAGCCAGGAAGAAGCTGACAGAGGGAGCAGCTGTGTTCCATCAAGACCACGTACACCACTGCAACCACCAGCACTGCCAGCGCCACCATGAGATAGAGAAGTGAAGGAAACCAGCACCAGCGCAAGGATGCCAGCACGCAGGGCTGGCTCTAGGTGTTTTGCTGCCCCAAGCTCTGAAAGCGCAACTGCAAAAGCAAAAAAAAAAAAAAAAAAAAGGATGGCCAGAATGCCGCCCCTGGAATTGTGCCACCCCAAGCACATGCTTGCTTTGCTGGTACCTAGAGCTGGTCCTGCCAGCACCAAGGAACACCAATGCCAGCATGAGAGAGAAGAGAAGGAGAAGCAGCGTAGGCATGAGGAGAGAGAAACGGACAGGGACTATCAATATCAGATTGAGATGGAGAAATTACACAAGCAGAACCATAGTCCAGTAGGTAGAACCAGTCCCCAGGTCCCTGTCCTGGTAGGTGGTGTAGACTCCAAATTTCTCCTTCGCTTTAGGGAGGGGATGACATGGATGTGTTCCTGCATGCTTTTGAAATGGGGTGTGACTTGAACATGGTGGGGAAAGGGGACATGGTAAGGTATCTGGCTCCACTACAGTCTGGGACAAAGGCCTCCGATGTTTTCATCCTAACAGGAAGGGAGGATTATAAAGATTATGATAATTGTAAACATGTTTAAACTGATCCTTGAAGCGTACAGGAGATGGTTTTGGGGAGTTCAGAAAAAAGGGGACATGACCTTGGCTGAGGTTTCAACTCAAATTAGGGGTTATGTAAGGAAATGGGGAACTGGTTGGGGGGTTACTATGATCAAAGAGGTCTACGGGTTAATGGGGATAGAAGAAGTCTATAAACTCTTCCACTTGGACCTGAAAACATGGTTAATAAACAAAAATCCTAGAGATATTTGTTATGATAGCTGGAGAACTGGAAGACCAGCATGTGGATAGTTGTCCTGAGTTTGATAGAAAACCAACAGGGAAGGAATGGGATCAGAGGACAAGGATCGGGCTCAAGCCGAGATTCACACCCGGTGGCTGGGAAACCACCTCCACGAAGCTCTGGGAAAGTGAGGAGAAGGGGTGTGCCAGACGTGGCCAGCAGGGTCACTTTGCTGAGTCCCCATGAAGTGCTGGTAAGGCCAGCTGCACCTCCCCTCACAGAGTTAACTGTGTGACTGAACCTCCAGAGGGAGGGAGTCACCAAGCCATTTGGCCAATGGCATATAATGTTCACCCCTTCCCCCCGCACAGCGTACATGTCATACAGCCGATGGCCAGTGGGAGCAGAAGGGGGTGGTTAATGGGGAGACAATCACAGGATGGAGAGATACTGGGCCTGCTAAGATGACAGTTAAGCCCCATGGAGTGAAACCCCATCAAATGTCCCAGGGGATGAAATGCGGGTTCAGGTTCCTGGTGTAAAAGCCCTCACTTGACCTACAGCACAGCTCTCAATACAGACCCAGGAAGGGCTGGGCTGCTGGGGGTAGGTGTGTTGTCAGATATTCTGTATTCTTTGCTTCTGTGAAATGATGTTACACATCACTGAAAAGAGAAAGGGTAAATGAGGCTCCCCCAGTTAGTCTCAGACAGGCGGGAGGGAGTGAGAGCAAAAATGCAAATAGACTAGCTGAGGTGTGTGTGTGTGTGTGTGACATTCCCTCAGGAAGTGTCCAAGAGGACTCAGGTTACATCCCCAGCTAAAGCAGACAAGTGCCCGAGGAGAGAAGAGATGAGATCACTGCCTGCTCCAGAGAAGGAACCAGACCTACTAACTTCAAAGGGAAACGTGCTGGGCCCTAAAGCCCAGATCAGGCAATTAAGCTCTCTGCCAACCCTTCCAGGGACCCAGGGGGCAGTAAAGCATGATGCTGGCAGTGTCTCCAGCCAAAATAGGGACACTGAGGCAGCTGTGGTGCACTGTCAAATCTATAACACCCACCTCAGGATGGGAAATGCCCCAGTAGAGAGTCAGACATCTGCTTGGGAGATGACAAAAGTAACCTGTAGCCAGGACGGAAGAGAGTGCAAATCTCCCACAGTCTGCTTGCCTGATGGGCTGCGAAAACAAAGGATCCTGAGGTAGGTGGGAGAGGGAATTCCGCTCATCTTTACTCAGGGTGTGGGGAACAAAAGGCCACCCTGATAGGGGATCAATATACCTCCCTCTCTCTCCAGAGAAACTGAGGTGAGGTCAGCAGCTGGAGTCCCCAGGCCCTGACCCTAGGGGAGGTGGGGCAGAATCTGGCTATGGGGGGTGAAGAGTCTCCGTGGTTCGACTCTTCCGCTGTTAAAAGCAGTGCATGGTTGAGAGCCGCTATACAGGGAGGAAGCCCTGACAGATTTCTCCCTTTGGTCCAAAGAATAGCTGCTTGTAATATTCTCAGGGGCTGGGGAACCTCAATCCAGACCTGAGTGAACCATGGGACACCACACACGCTCCCTAAAACCACATGGGAGGTGGAAGTGGGAGAATCAGGTCTTAAGTTTAAACTCAGATGTTCTGGGGTAACAAGAGTAAGAATGGGCATGTGAAAGCTCAGTCCCATAGATTCCAAAGAGAGAATTTATGCAGGATCATTGTCAAATAACTCCGTACAGATTTCTAAAGGAAATATGCTGGCTTGATAGCAGGAGATTTATTATCTGAACAGGAGATATATGAAATTGTGAAAAGTAATGGCAAAATGGCCATGCAGGGACTAAACCTGTCCAGGGAATAAGTCAGTGTGTTCCCCATGGGTGCCAGTCAGCAACCTAGTTGCACTCACTTCTGGGGGGAGGGGGGGGAATGTGACAGACTGACACTATCACGTAATATCCTAAACAAACCTTATGGAATTAACAAACTTTAATGAATTAGGGTGAATGCCTTTGGGACACCTTGTATTAAAAAGGCAATTGGGTATGTGTTGTCGTGGCATTGCATGTACCTTCTCTAGTAGGGCGCGGTGTGTGTGTGTGCTAATGTACTTCCTCCATCATCCTTTGAAGCCACTCCTCTGGGGAGATTTGCATATGCTAGTTCAAAGTGGATCCTCCAATGTCCAGACAAAAAAAAAAAGACTTCTGGATAAAAGCCTGGGCTTTAACGTGATTCAGGGCCTTCTTCCTGATGCTGCACACGGGCAGAACCCCGATCCACAGAAGGCTCCATTCCTTACGGGAGGATTGGATGGAGTTGGCCTACAGAGGCCTCATAAGACTTTGTGCTTGTTCTGAGCTGAAGCTCTGACGAACTTGTGACCTCAAAGAAACTACTCAGGTGGGGGTGATGCCCGATAAGATTATTAGCATGCATGTAGGTTCTTTCATTGTTTTTAATATGTCTTTTCTGTAATGCTTTTAAACCTTCAGAATAAAGTAGGCTTACTTGGAAAGAGCTGAGTGGTAATGTATAGCTGTAACAACCACTCTGTTATCAGTCGCTGACAAGAAAGCAAGCAGTTCTATTTAGGCTTTGCTGGGAATGACACACTGAAGGCAGGGAGCTGTGCAGCCTGTCAGAAGAGGTGAGATGTGGGTCTCCACCCAAGAAAGGCAACAGCTGGGGAGCCGGAAGGCTGAGAGTGGGTGTCCTTGCTGGTTCACTGAGGG